ATATTTTCTCCCCCATATAACACCTCCAGTTTATCCATCAACCTATCCGCCTACCTTTTTCATCAAATCCAATAAAACTCAAGTTTCAAACCACATCAACCTTCTTTCTTCCTTCCCTCTGCCACCCAAGAAATGGCGAAGAAAGCAGTCTTGATCGGATGCAACTACCCCGGTACCAAGGCAGAGCTAAAAGGCTGCATAAACGATGTTCGGAGAATGTACGAGTGCCTCGTCGATCGCTTCGGCTTCTCTGAGGAAAACATCATCGTCGTCATCGACACTGACGATTCCCACACCAAGCCTACCGGCAAGAACATCCGCAGGGTGTTGAATGATCTCGTGCGCTCTGCTGAGCCCGGTGATTTTTTGTTTGTGCACTACAGTGGACATGGCACCAGGCTTCCGGCTGAGACAGGGGATGATGATGATACCGGATATGATGAGTGCATTGTACCCTGCGACATGAATCTCATCACTGGTATGGCTGCGTTCAATTTCTTGATCATCTTTGATAATTGGGTTCCTTGTAAGTATCAAATTTTTTGTGGGGTTTATCTGAGGATCTTTGATCTTGGGTGCAACTGAATTCTTTGATTCTTGTATTGGTGTTTTTACCCTTTGGTTTTGATATGGATTTTCTAGATCCCGACGTTTGTTGACTTTCTTACTGACTATTTAGTGATTAGGTGTTAGATCTTTGTTCTGGTTGTAGGATCTTCTTGATCGTTTCCTTTTCCCCTTTTGCTTTCAGATCATTTGCTCGATGATTGTGGGGTATGGTTTTTGTTGGTTGATTTGCTTGTTATTGTGATTCTTTTGGTGATTGAGATGTCATGGTTCTTGTCATCTTAGTGTCCCTTTTGCTGGTTTGTGCTTTTCCTCACTTACCCCACCCAATAGACATTTTACTGCCAGACAGGATCCAGAAATGGTGCTTGATGATCAAGTTTTATATTTTTATGCTGCTAAATGACTATTGTGGTGTTTATGAACAGATGATGACTTTAGAGAGTTTGTGGACAAAGTCCCAGAAGGTTGCCGCATAACAATTGTATCTGATTCTTGTCACAGTGGTGGGCTGATTGATAAGACTAAAGAGCAAATTGGAGAGAGCACAAAGCCTCAAGAATCGAGTTTGGGTTTTGGGATCAAGGACTTCTTGCACCAGAAGGTACAAGATGCATTTGAATCTCGAGGGATTCATGTCCCTTCTGAATTGCGCCACCACCACCACCACCACTACCGCCATGAGGAAGAGGAAGACAATGACAGGGGAGTAGTTGAAGAAGGATTTAGGGATTATGGCTATGTGAAGAGTAAATCTCTGCCTCTCTCAACTCTTATTGAAATACTAAAGCAGAAAACTGGTAAAGATGACATTGACGTGGGAAAGCTGAGGCCAACCCTTTTTGATATCTTTGGTGAAGATGCCAGCCCCAAAGTTAAGAAATTCATGAAGGTCATCTTGAACAAACTCCATCACAGCGACAGCGATGGTGAAAATGGAGGTGGTGGTTTCTTGGGGAAGGTTGGTAGTTTGGCACTAGAGTTTCTCAAGCAAAAGCTAGACGAGAATGATGAGTCTTACGCAAAACCAGCCTTGGAAACAGAGGTGGGCAGCAAGCAAGAGGTTTATGCTGGATCAACCAAGCGCTCATTTCCTGATGGCGGGATTTTGATCAGTGGCTGCCAGACCTTCCAAACTTCTGCTGATGCCAGTCCTTCCGGCGGTTCTGCTGAAGCCTATGGAGCTTGTAGCAATGCCATTCAGACAATACTTGCTGAGACAGATGGTTCGATTACTAACCATGAGCTTGTTTCAAAAGCAAGGAAAATGCTTAAAAGACAGAGTTTTACTCAGCGTCCCGGCCTCTACTGCAGCGACGATCATGTCGATGCTCCATTTATTTGCTGATCCTAAGCTGAATGGTCCCTGATAACAAAAACAAAAATTAATAATTTGACCTCTGTGTGCATTATGAAGGGGGCTTGTTTGGTGTCCTTACTGTTCGGTTTGCCATCTGGATTTTGTGGACAGTAAATCTTGAGCAAAAATGATTTTCTATTGTAGTTATAACTTTGAATGACAAATTCCCTTACAAGTTAGTCCAAGTTCTTCTACATCCTAGGGAAGATTGTTGTCTATTTTCCCTCTATGACAATGTTGATAATATACAGAATTATATGCCAAAAAATGGAGCTATAATTCAAAAAAATCAAAATGAATAAGGCTGCACATCAGTAACGTGGTTCAGAGCAGCTCGCCTTGTCCTCTCTGTGCAAAGCTAGTGCTGCTTCCATTTTACTTGCTTATGTTCCCTCAAAAAGCACCTTCACAAAGACTATCAGATTAAGCAAAATTACTGCTGCTCTTGTTTAATCCTCAATATCTTGAACCCATGCCAAGTCTGCAAGCAAAAGATGTTTCAAGTTATGCAGGTTCGTATCTGTACTTCAGATATATGATAACAAGAAATCAAATCTCAGATATCCCAAGTATATGGCCAAATTTAGTTCCTCTAGTCTTAAAGAAAGAAGGTTGCATGCTCCCCCGGGGGGGAGGGGATGAAGTCAACTTTCGGTATCTTATCAAATGAACTAGGACTCTGGTAAGTTAATACTTTTTCTAATCCTCAATCTAGTGACAGGGACACCAACCAATGAATAGAATATTAATTGAGTGCATGAATGTGTCTATGGGGTCAGGAGGCTTGAGTTATTAGTAATTATGAGAAAGAACCTTGAAGCACGGTTTCAACTGCTGCATTTGGCACAAGAAGCCCAACAATCCGCTTATTATCTGATGTGGTTTCTAGCCGCACAACACGAAGGCGCCTGTGGCTTTGACGAGCCTGCAAAAAGGTCAATTCAGCTTTTAGTTGCTGAAAAGCAATTTCATACAAAGAATTGTGAAGAGCATAAAACTTTCCACACAATCAAACATTAAATTGTTTTGCAATAGTGAAATCTTATGCCATCATGAAGAGCATGTATATACGTAGACTTAGATTTTGGCTCAAGAACCTCCAATACAGACTAACAGCATGTCACGAAATAACAAAAAGGAACTTCACTAATTTAGATGTTAAAAGAAGAGCAACAAGTACTCGTACTACTGACTACTCCACTTGAAAGTGTAAAATATGGATTACTGACGTTCTTTTCCATGAGATGCTGTATTGGCAATTCTTGATTAAGAGTTAGCTCAAAAGTGGCGTAGTGGGTTTCCAATTTAAAGAGGAAGATCCCATCATAAACTTCTCAGCAATACAAATAGCGAATCTGTCACTATACGATTACTTAAAGCATGAGACAAGGTTAAAGTCACCTGTTTAGAAAGGGCCTTCTCAATAGTGCCCCAAACTGGAAAAATGAGACCACCCAAAACATTAACTTCCTGGAGTCGTCTTCCAACCGTACAATAGTTGCCAAGCTTACAATTGGGGCCATGCATGCACTGCAGGAATAAGAAACAGTAACCCAGTAGAAAACCAAATTAACATTGAACTAGATAAATCATTTAATAAAAATAGTTCAGATTGAAGTATACATGGTACATCCTGATAAGCATCAAAATTTTCTTCAAAGGAAGATACTAGAGAGTAAATGAAATTCTTAGAAAAGTAAATTTTCATTCTGGATGTATACCTGCTTTGAAGAAACTTCATACTCATCCTCCCATCCACTACGGGCTTTCTCTAGAGATGAAACCTTTCTATATTTGTTTTTTAGTTCTGCCAGAGGCATTTCCCTGGAGAGATAAATATTACAGTGGGTGACCATAAATCTTAAGAGTAGAAAAGTTGTTTAACTTTTGTATTTGTTTTTAAATTCTGCCAGAGGCATTTTCCCTGGGGAGATAAATTTGATTGTGGTCGACAAGAAATCTGTAAGTAGAAAAGTTCATTGACTTTTAGATTGATACCTTACTGATTCCCCAACAGCAGGGCGGACAATCTTAAAGAACCCAGAGGTTGAGCTGAAGCACAATTCAGTGCAAAAAAAAAAAACATTAGCTAGGTCAGAAGCCCAATACATCTATAGAACACACACACCATTAGGACAATCATCCAAATGCAAAATGCAAGAGGAAAAACTTTATTCAGTCTATTAAAGAAGCCATTCTTGTTCTGTTCCTAGCCTTGCTTAAATACTAGGAACCAACATCAATATCGTATGTTTTGGGACAAAAGAAGAGTATAATATGATAACAATCAAAGCACACAAAAAATAAAGGCAAAAGGGCAGCATAAAGAAAAAAGTACCTCTCAAAAGCAAGAATAAAGTGACGCCGTCCCAACCATTCCCTCTTAGATTCATAGAATCCATCATGAGCTGAACCAAGCCCATCCCTTTTCTTCTCATCAAGCATGATACTTGCAGACTAATACAGATAAAAGCCAGATACATGTAATAATTTTAGACATCTTAATGAAATGGGTATTTCATACAGTTAAGTCAAATGGAAAAGCGTACCTCCCAAGTGATTCCACGATCCAGAGTAAAAGTGAACAGAACTGTTGATGCTCCAGACATTTGATCAACATGAACAGTCTGTTAGAAAATAAAAGTTAGAATAATCAAAATATAATGCAACCAACATGGTAACAGAGAGAAATTAACCTTTGGTGTTCCTTGCAATTCAATAATGTTAGCTTTCATATCAACAATTCCTGAGTCAAGATTCCCTTCAATTCGGGCATTTTGTATAAGAACATCTAAGATGCTGATGAATAACTCAAATAACCTGCATGTAGAACGATCATACGGCATCTTAAGTATGACTCTTAACTGCAGCAGCAAGTATATTCTAATGAACAAGCCATGAACCTGTTCTGAATATCTGGTGGTAGTCCTAAAAGCCGATTCAGGAAACGACCAACATCATGCATATCTGAATCGACAATACGGCCAGAGAGCTTTCCATTGTCCTTCCCATTACCTGCAGCAAAAATATGAACTTGATACTTCAATTATTTTCTGACATTACAATCAAACAATATGCACTACATATCAACATTAATCCACAGTAAGTAGTAACACCAAGAGAGCAAGCATAACAAAAACTGTTCTATTTACTTGTAAAGAAATGAAATTGCAGGAAGCTTTACCAAGAACTGTGTCTCTAATTATTCCAACAGACACAAGAGCAGCTTTTGCTTTTGTTATGAATTCTTCGATTGTATCTGGTTTTTCTGATGTACATCCAGGTGGCGCAACTGGCAACTTATCCTGAGAACAAAACTTCAGCTATTCCTCCATTGTTGTCTTATCTAGCCTCTACTTATTTGGCATGCAAAATGATAAATGTAACATTAATAAAAGAATATTATGCGAACCTGCTCCATGATCCCTCTATACATCACCATCAATGCCTTTTTTCCATATGCACTATCATAATTGTAAGCACTCAAAGATGGTCCTGCCCTGCAACACATCCAGTTGCATTATGATAATAAGAAACAATCAAAAAAGGCATGGAGTTGAGCCAGAATATCATTCTTGGAGGGAGTAGGGTACTAGTTATGTCACAGAGTGATGATCCATATTGAAGATTCAGATTCAAAAAATTAGAGAAAAGAAACTAGGGCATTTCTTAACTAGAATTCACAAATATATATTGGGCGTGAACATATAGTTAAACATCAGTTCTAGAAGATCAAATAAAGCATGTGTTAATTTACTGAAAGTCTGAGACAAAAATTTAAAAAAAAAGTTATAGTAAGGACTTCCAAATTACCTGCGATCTCCCTGTGTTAAGGCTCCAAGAGACTCTAACCTCTTGGCAACAATGGAAGCAAAGCGACGCTCTCCACCAAGATTTGTGAAAATAAGCCTGTAAACAATGAGTAACAATTATTTTAGTTCAATAACTAAGATACAAATAAAATTTTAGAAAAAAAAGGATAAAAAATTAAGCATTGATATGAAATTTTCAACCAACAGGCAGACATCGAAAGAAAGATTGTCCCACCTGTATTCAGGTGCAGAAGCTTGATTTGACCGATGAGTTCTTCCAAATTGTTGAATTGCCCGGTCAGCACTCCAAGGAAGTTCTAGGGTTATATGAACTCTTCTTTTCTGTAGTGAGACAAAACAGTAGATTATGAGAAAGGTGGCAAATTGGAAAGAAAAAAGTGTATAAAATTTCTGAAAAGTTACTTTAAACACAAGACTCAGTTTTCAAACAGCAAACCAAAAGCATGAAAGAAAATGCAAAAATGGCAATTTTCGGGTCACACAGCCAAATAGCTTACCTGATTCAGTGCTCTTCTATCTGCCTGCAAGGACACCCCAGCTGAGCCAGCTTCAGAAATTATGGCAACCAACTTCTTACCATCCATAAAGAGCTGCTTCTCGTGCATGTTGACCATTTCCATTGTTACATCCTTTCTAAAGAAATTAACAATATGGAATAGATGATTTAGATAGCAAGTTGAAGTGAATCATCACTGGAAGATAAATACATGGTATCCAAACTCACGTGTTTCGTGCCTGGTAAGTTACACCCTTTCCACTGGAGGCCCTTACAAGCATGCCTCGCCTCCCTGTCATTTCTGCAACTCTATCAGGACCCCCAAGCTGCATAAGCATTGTTTGTAAGGTTAAGAAGGACAATAGTATCAGCTGCAATCGCAACTAAATCAGGCTACATAGAGTTTACCACCTACTTATGGGAAATACTAAAACTTGTAAGCAAAGAATAGGGAAGAAAAAATTCCCAGGAAAATTAATCTCACTGAAAGAACAGGTTAAGGGTTGGTTCCAATAAATAATCAAATCACATAATTAATTCCCTTATTTGCAACCTGAAAGAATCTAATTTTGATATTGAAAAGTTGTTAAGTGCATTAGCAAGCCTCTAAGAAAGAGATCAATACATGAGATATACCTGATCAATAATGTCATCCAAGGGATTATTTGGTAGATCCAAAGAACGAATTATCTCCAAAATTTTTGACTTACGCTCTGAAGCAGCTTCATACCTGAGATCAAAGTTCTACCTCATATATAACCACATAATATCCACTACCACCACTATTAAAAGTTTGAATATTAGAACAAGAACAAATTAGAAGAAAGGAACCAAAAATACAAAACCTCTTTGAAAGTTCTACTATGTAGGCACGTCTTGCTTGAATATATTCATCAGTTTTCTCCTTGCATGAATAACATGACCATTTATCAGGTATGACATCAGTAATTGGCGGCACTAAACATGCAGGATGGACAAGCTTGCCACAGCAGGAACATTGAAGCAACTTCTTCCTTTCCTGAAGGAAAACATAAAAGCTAATAACATATTGCAAGCAAACAAAATACCTAATCAAAGTAAAAATAAATTACCTCCTCAGTATTGCACATCTCACAGATCTGAAACTCATCATCGGATTCAGTAGATTCAGGTGCAGAATCACCTACATTGATAATTGATCAAGCAAATAATTTAGAAGGTAATGTACGTAAACTGAAAAGAGACAGGGGACAAAAAATATCAGAGGAGGGTACAGTACAAGATTAGAAAAGAGAAAAATCTCGAGAAATACAGCTTCAAACACAAAATGGCAAATGATATCACATTTTTGTAAGTGTCAGAAACGATAGCCATGAATATCAGATAATCTGTTAATAGATCCACAACACAATACAAAAGAAGCATCCCATTCACATGCACACACACACACACACACAAAATGAATTGGAAAAACAAAACAAAAGAAACAGAAAGAAAGGAAGGAAACAACCATTATTTGGGAGAGTGAGTGTTGGGGGTTTACAATGTAAGGTCCCTAAACTGAAAATGTCCATCACCATCTAAACTGCAAACATAATCACCATCAATGTTCTAACTGTTTCAAAAACTTACTTTCAGAATCTTCATCGCTTTCACCATCACTTGCTGGATTCCATTTGGCAACCTTCCTAACTCTCCCTTTAAACGAAACACCAGGCGTTGCTGAGTGCCTCTTACGTTGAAGTTCCTTTACAGTTTCCTCTTCTATACAAGAAAATTAGTAATTAACATCTGATAAGGGCAACGGGCTGATCAGGCCAGCTTAGAGCAACAAATGCAAAGAATACCTTGGTCAGGTTCGGGCTTTTCAGGCAAAGGATAATTTTCTTCCACAAATTTCAGCAACAGCTCTCGTGGTCCCGAAATAAAATCATCAAGTTCAAGACCCTGTGTCAGACAAGGAAATAAATATCAATTACACAAGAAATAAAAACCATCTGGGCACAAGAGGGGAGATCAAAGATACAGACATATTTTGTCACAGCTTCCTCAGTCCGAGCCTCCCCAGTACTCTGAAGACCAATAACTACACACTTATCTTCCATTAATGCTTGCTTGGCTAGCCTCACAGTTGCAGGGACCTTAGCTGACATGCACATGTGTCTGAAGAAACGCTATAATAGCACAAGGAGAATCAAATTGAAAATAAATAAATATGGTAATAAACTCATATGGCACAACTAAACAGAAGAAATATATAGACGGAAGAAAACATTTCTGGAACCAAAAGACCCAGAAAATATCATATACCTGATGGCTAGACCAATATAACCTCCAAAGCTGACTGGAATTAGGTTTATCGCCATTAAGGAAAGCACTGGCTGTTAGTAACTCCACCCGCAACTCTGCCCAAAACTCTGCTGCTGGCTTATACGACACCTAACATCAAAATAAATAAGCAAATAAATAGCAGGGAACATAAAGAAAGAAAAGCATTCAAACACCAAGAGCATATCAAGTCAAAACCAGCACTTCTCACACTAAGTTTCTCAAAGATCTTTGTGATGCCTTCATTATACTTATACATTACACTTGCAGAGAAGTGTTCATACCTCCATTTCAGCTTCTAATGGTGCTTCAATAACCTCAAATTCCACTCCTTTGTAACTGAGGGTACGACAAACATACATACCCCTACAATTTGAAAAAAAAAAAAATGGAATATTAATGATACATCTTGTGACAAACTCATTTCATAAAAGGATTCTATTCATTATCACCTTGCTTTCATGTCCATGGCAACAAGTTCAAGTGCACCCACACCACCTTTCTCAAGAGCACCTGTAAGTAAAATTATTCATTTCAGAAAAAATATTTCACTTAAGTATTATTGTTGACAATAATAGAACAAAAAAAGAGAATGAAAATTGAACATGAGATAGCAACTAAATTGGCAACAGATCAAGTATTAGATCAGACCTAGAAAACTCGGGAAATCAGGGAAACATGTTCCAGCTCCCCAAAGACCAAGCCTGACCATATAACCCATATTGCGTGGCTCAGATGCACCAGTTGCTGAGCAATAAATGACACGTGCTTCAGGAAGTCGGGCCTGTTAATTTAGAAATTGAAAACAATAAGTTAAAGACAACCAAAAAGAAATAGAAATGCCTGTCCTATTTACTGGCGGTTCAGATAAGCAAAACAGAAATCCATGATCCCTAACACATGTATTATTTTAAGGTTAAAGGATGAACCTGAATTTCCACAACTGCTTCCCCAGTGCGTGTTGGCTGACTTCCAGCTTCAGGTACTAAATTTTTGGCTTTGTGACACTACAATGAAACCATTGGCCTTTAGCGATTGAAAGACAACAATATATTGAAACCATGGGACACTAATTTCATAGTGTCCTGAAATGGCAGGAACAAGCCACATTATAAAGCAGTACACAAGGAAACAAATGTTACCTCATCAAAAATGACAAGTCCATCAAATCCTGACCCACACCACTGCACAAGCTGCTGCAAACGTGAACGGCCTTTCTCAGAAGATGCAATGAGACTATTGTATGTCAAAAATACCACTCCTTCCTTGATCCCAACAGACTTTGAATCAAGCTTAGAATAAGGCAGCTTATTCAGAGCATGAACTGCATACAGAAGCAACTGCATGAGCTCTTTTTGTACAACAAAGAAGACATACCAACATAGTCAGCACAAAGATAATAAATGGCCAAGAATATTATTAACCCTTCTATTGGTAAAACAATCAAACATAGTAGCTAGAATAAATAATGTCCATATGTGATACAATTTCAGATTGTTATGGAATGACCGATTCACATGTTACTCATATAGCACACAGACAGACAAAATGTTGAAGATAGAAGAGATTTAACTGAAAACCTTGGGAGAGACTCACATACACTACGCAGGGAAGTGTTAACATATCAAAAGCATTACTAAAATACCATCGAACTGCAGAAGCACTTTATTTATACATTTCCTGAAACTAGCAGTCCAATCTGTGAAATAAGAAGTTACAAGGAAACTTGAAGTATTTACCTTCAACATACATTGCACCCACATCATCCAAGTCTCTTCTTGCATCAAACTTTAAGTCTGAACCAACAGAAATCCACCTGTGTAAGACCATTGCAAACAGGATAAAAAAAATTATAAAGCATGAACCAAACAATAACAGATTCAAGTCAGCAGTGCATTCAATTTAATATTTTGAAAAGGAAGGGAAAAACCAAAAATCAACAGGTATGTAACTACTGTAAAAGCAGTTTAGCACGAAAAAATAGACAACTTAAAACTCACAATGCTTTCCTCCTCCCATGGTGCCAATTCTCCCATATAAGCCCAGCAATTGTCCGACCTTTACCAACACCAGCTCCATCTCCCACAAAGAAACCTGCCCTGGCAGCACCTGGAAGGTGCTGGAGATGCCTCTGTCATTAAAATACAACATTATTTCACAAGCAAAGGTGTGGAATTGAAATCCTAACTGTAAGTCCTCTCGTAAGAAGAACCTGACAAGCATAGACCAAAGTCTCAATCTGCAAGCATGACAAGGCCTTTGAATTTTCCAACTCATCCCTGATTCTTAGATCATAAGTAGGTTCTGGCGGCTGTACTGCAGATAGGGAGGATGTTTCCACAATAGGATCTGGGTGAGGAGGACCAATGGATAGTTTTGGTGGGCGCTGCATTAAGAATCAAGGCAGAGTCACCTGAGTTGCTAGTTCTCAAACAAAAGCCCAAGATGAGTCATTGTAGTTTTGAAAAGCTTCAAGTTGCAAGCCCAAACACTTCAGTTTAAGGAAAGTGATGAATGACAAAAGAAAACTTCTAAATGTGAAGTATTCCAAAATAAACTCACATAATCTGTAAACGTTTCTCCTACAGGGCCACCTTCATCTTCTTCACGCTCCACTTCAATAGCTACCTGAGAGATTTTTCATGTCAAAAGAAAATAGAAAACATAGCAATAAGAAATTGTCTCAGTACAGAATAAACTAAAAGCAGAGTCACCAGCACCAATGCTAACTGTCCCATTTAACAAGTCAACAAATAAAATTGCCCCCCACTCAAGGACTAGATCTTCTCTAAGCCCAAACTTATTATGAAGTTGTAGTGTTAGCTACACTACGATTATGATTTGGTAACTGATGGACCTCATTAGATTCTCTACAACCTATTATATGAAATAACCAATTCAAAGAAACAAACCCAGTAACATTGTCACACCTGACAATACATTATATAAGAAGGAATGAAGCCAACTCAACCTAATCATTATTACAGGAATGAAAACAGAGTTTAACACCTCACAACTTAGAATCCACCTCAAAAAAACGGAATGTACAAAAATCCCACAAGTATCATCCTTTAATGCAACAAGGTATTAGTACCAACTATCCAGAAACACATAATCATTAACTAACACACAAGACGCAATAATAGCTCACTAGCAATAATCTCTCCATCACATACCCAACTATTAACCATCATCATTTTGCAGAACCAAAATTTTAAAAAAATTGCATCTAAACTTGGCATCACTAACACACACAAGCACAACAGACATTGATATGGAGAAAAAATAGAGCAAAGACATAACCATAGTTCACCAGCCATAATGTTCACAGAAAATTCCCAACCGTATGGTATCCATTATTTCACCTAAGCAAAATTAACCCTTAAAAAATAGAAGCATAAACCAGGAAAGGATACCTCGTTGACTTCCTCAGGAGGTGGGCGGGGCTGAAGGAGTTGTTTTATCTTGCTCAAATCGACAGCCAAATCAACTCCACACTGGGGGCAAGAAAACCTTGCCAAGCCATGGGGCACATTAAGAATGGCCTTGCAATTGGCGCACGGCAGTTGCATCTTGGTGGGATCGATGCCATGTGCAGGCACAGATTGCGAGGGCGGAGGTTGTAGGCGGACCCTCGTCATGAGCTCAGGCGGCAGCATCTGGGGCAGCTGGCAGGTGGGGCAGATGAACTCCGTAACACCGGGGCCAACAGTGAGGATCATCCGGCATCCGGCGCAACGAACCTGGACTCCAGCTGCTCCACCGGCAGAAGGGGGCAAAGGGGGAGGTGGGATTGAGGGTTGGGTCATAATTTTCCAGAGTTTTGGAGGATCTATAGAATTAGAAACAGTCGGTTGGTGGTTTACGAATGCAAAGATAATCCGAACCCACGAAAAGGGATTGATTCATTCCATGATGGGTCGTGGCTGTTGGTTTACTCCCCAAATTCTCTCGAGGAAAGGAAAGAACTTGCTGCTACGGAGTCCAATTTGGGGGAGAATTTTGATTGTGGGTAAATCAATGAAATTCCATCTGCTTTCTCTCTGTTTAGTTAGAAGTGGCGCTTCGATAACAGTAACTCTGCCTCCCTGCCTGCCGGGCGCCTCACGTGCGTGCCACGTGACATCCAGACGCCGTGCAAACTGCAATGGGTCTCCCCATGCTAAGGTCAGGTTAGGCCACCCCACCCCACCCCAAAAAGCTGCTGCTGATGCTGCCTCTCAAAGTGCTGATACCTTGGAGCATGCTTTGCAACCTGCAATGGCATAGTATTTCTGGGTTGCAAAATTTTCAATCCATAAGACCCAATTTTGGCCAAGTATGAACTATCTTTGCTCTCCAATCTTCATTTCATTTTCTTTTATCCAAATGGGAGATGGAATTCCATTTTGGTTCCTTCATTCTATGGTTTCTGGAGAGAAATATGCAGGGAAAGAAACAACGGGTTTGAGGGGATGGAAAGATGTTGGAGGTGTATTTTGCAGCATACACAGTGGGATGCTCATTTCAGATTGATTATAATCACTGTCTTTACAAGTGGAATTGGAATGCTGAGTTTGTTTACAAAGCAGATTAGATATACTGCCATTGAAGAAGATCATCAGAAGAAGAAACTTGGTAGGAAAGTTCTTATGGCTTGTACCAAACCAGACAAGAGCTGGACCAAACTGAATGTTGATTGCTCTGACATCAAGCACACAAAGCAGAGCCAGGAGGACTGATTTGAGGCAAATGTGGAAATTGTATCAAGGGATTCAGTCTTTTCCTGCCTGAATTGCAACATTAAGTTGGTTGAGTTTTAGGGCGTGTTTGGATGGGGAGGGGAAGGGAGACTATTTCCACCAATCAAATTAAGTCGTTTTCCTCAAAATGAGAATTGAAACTTACTACATGGAAGTCCTGTTAATGATCAACAACAACGGGTTATCATCCCACCATGATCTTATCAGAGCTACATTAGAAATCATGGATAACCCCATTGTTGATCCTGAGGGAGAGTGGTTTTTGTGTCACCTACACAAAGCAAGCAACCTTGTAGCTGACGAACATATGATGGAAATCTATGACAAGTCTCCTAAAGTAGTGTAATCCTGATGGCAAATGCAATTGGTGTGGCCTTCTCACATGTTGTTCATGTTATTTAACTGTTTTGCTTTCTAACGGGTTTTCGCCCTACTTTTCACCGGAAAAAAGGAGAACTTCTTTAGGTTGAATGGCTCTTGTCTGCTCATTAACACATGCTTATGGGCAGGGACAGAGCTAGACTCTTGGGGTGAGTGGTTGAAATTTTAAAATTTATAAGCTTATCTTAGTTTAATTTATATTAATTTTTTTAACAAGTGACTAATTATCCATTATAACTATTATATATTTTAATAAGGGAGGGGCAGCTGAAGGTTGAATATGATATGTTACAGCGGTGTTTTCATTTATGGAATTAAGAATGTTATCATTTTACCTATCACATAAAGAACAATTTATATTAATTTTTAACTATTAATTTTTTTAACATTAATTTTTAACTATTAATTATGTAGTTTGATATTAGAGTTATATATATTGTAAGGCACATGTTTAGAGTTTGATAGTTTTTATATAAAAAAAATTATACTAATTTTTATGTTAATCATTAATTTATGTTTAAATCTACTATTTATAACATAAATGTCAAACTTTAAATTAATTAGATATATTTTATATGTTTAAATAACATGTGATTCAATGTCTTTAAATAAATAATATATATAATAATGAGAAAAATGTTAATAAGTTGGACTAAAAAATTTTGCAAAAAAAAAAAATTTAAAACTAAATTATTTTAATAAACTCTTTTTAAAATAAATAGACTAAAATATCAGATATTTAGGGTAAAAATAAAGACTATTTTAGGTTTTTTTTTTTTTTTTTTTTTAATTTATTAAAATATCATAACTTTGAGGTGTTTTCTAACCTTTTTATTTTTTGCAAGGCTAATGAATAAATATTAATCTAATATAAAATATAGTTTCTTTTTGATATAGTTATAGATATCAATAAAATTTAAATTTGGAACTTATGACACACACAAATGGAATATAAATTATAGAATAAAAAATGTACAAAAAAATTACAACTAATATAAATTCTTATATAAGTTACATTAATGTAACTAGATCTTCACTACTTTTGAATATTTTTTTATACATAGATAAAAGTATTTATCTTAAAATTTGATTAAAAAAAAGAAATGAACTAGGTCCTAACTATTTTCTTTAGGAGGTGTTTGGTTGGGGGAAAACTCCCTAAAGTTCTCTAAACTTTTCCTCATAAGAGGTTATTTACGTATTTTCACACATTAATCCCACAACAAAAATAGGGTAAAAATGGTATTTTAACTTTTAATTTCTTTGATACAATTCTCAATTTATAAAGTTTTCTTCCTACCTTTTTTGCAAGGAAAATGTT